AGCTTTGGATAAGTTTCCTCTCAGAGGGACTGACAGACATCTACAATCTACAACCTAGCTACATTGATCAAATTAACGTTGCCCTTAAGAAGCTTGCTTTGCTCCTCCTATACCCCTCGTCACATGCAAGGCTTATGCTGAGCAGGAGGTATGCAGGCCCACGAGAGAAGTCTACATCTGAATGAACCTTCGACAAAAAATACAATGAGCATAAACCCAAAGAATATCTTAAAGAGCAGGGCAATTCTTGTTCACAGGGGCTGCAAAATTATCAAATATTTAAGTGCTTTGAAATATTGCCTTGGGGACTTGGCTTTTTGAACACCTGGCATTTGCAAACCTTCTTCTTCGCAGGAACAAACCTCCTTCTCCACAGAATCCTCTTCTTGAGAAGCTTGTGAGCTTGTCCTGCTTGTTTTTTCTAACCTTTCGTTTGAAAAACGTTGCACCAGGAGAGTTTGTGTTTGAGACCTTGGAAGCAGAAACCCAGCTGGGGAACCTTACAAAAAGCTACGAAAAGCTACCAATTTGGGCAATTTGGGCTACGGGTTTCCAGCTGAAAGGTGGGCTTTCAAGCACCTGCAAGACACCCTCTCAGACGCAGAACTTAGAGCAACTTGTGACGACCCTGTGGTGACCTGTTGTCCCCCTAAGACGTGTACCCTCAACACGTGAAGCGGTCGATCTATGCAGATGTTTATCCATGTTTATCTATGTTTATGCACTTTGCGGTCAAAGCCGCAGCACTGTCAGTCTGTGCAAAGTTGTAAGAGGATACCAACGAACACTCAAGACGACGACAAAAATATTCCCATTCGAAAGGAGCCTGTGGAAGAGCCATCCCAGTGATTTCCATCCTGGACAACACAATGTTTGAGAATAAAATGAAAAAGCTAACGATGGGTGACTTTGGCAGCGCTCAGGCATATACTTTCCATGCTTGTAAAAGCGAGCAGTGTCGGCACCACCCCTGGCAATCTTCGAATTCAACACTTCAGCGCCGTGCACTGCCCACTTTCGAGAGAAGACTCAACATTGGAACGCCACAGAATCTACACTGCTATCACCTTCTCAGTTTTGAACGTCTGGCCACACAGATGCAAAACAAAGTCACACAGACACTCTCTGCCTATTTGATCCTGGATCGCCTGTTTGCATCCGTTTGCTATATTTTTCTTTGCAAGTGGGTGGAGACATGCACAGGTTACTGGATCGAGATGTATTGAACAGAAATTCAGGATTGGGCAAAGATGGAATATATCGAAAGTGGAAGGAAGGAAAAGACAAACAGACCTCAAGATGGCTTGGCTGGATCCTCCAATCTCTGAAGAGCCCTGAGATGTACAACCGGTCTTAGGAATTTTACATGCTTGCAGCAGAGTTGGGCGGTTTCATTGTTTTTTTCGGCTGTTCTATCAAGGGAATGCCACGCTTTATCATTCTGCTTTGAGGCTTTTTCGTTGGAGCTTGCAGAAATCCAGCTGAAACCCCTTGGGGAACTTTCACATCCGAAACCCGCTTCTATCCAAGTAAGGCCAACCCTGGCCAGTATACACCTGGCGCCGCCTGTGAGTTTGCTCTCTGTGCTGACGCATCATCTGATCCGCAAATAAGCAGAAGAACATACAGCATAAACACTACCCTAGGGGCCCGTACCACGTTTTCTGCTCACTGCTGACCGAAAAGTACCTGACTCCTTCGCCATATCACAGCACAAGCAACTGACCTGTCCTGCAGTTGCTTTTCCCTAGCGGCTTTGGGATTATTTTGCAGTGAAAAGCGTCTTCTACGCAATATTGCAGCTGGAGCATGCGACACTCTTAAGAGGTGTGTATTTGGATTCGTGGATCGTTTTATTCATGCAGTTCAGACTGTGACTATTCAGAGTCTGACCAGCGATTACATTACCTGCTGCGACATTGAAAGTGAAGGCATTGCAATGCTCTCTACGCACGTCCCTGCCCCTTGGACTCTTGTAGTAAATTACTGTACATATCCTACATATACAAGGCGATACACAGCGAAAGGTGCTTAACATGTCAGCGAGACCCAAAGTAGTGATGTCTGGGAGTGTGCAATTGACTGCGCAAAGCTCGAGGAGTCTGAATTAGCCTCAGCCCACTCTTCTCTGCCTCCACATTCTCGATCAACTCACATACTCAGAAATTGCCTTTCTGAACCAACATTGCTTGCTTCAGCACAACTTGCTGAAGGTGCACGTCTGCGAAAGTCGCTCCAGGCACTGAGATGTTTCCTTGCCAGCGTGCAATCATCGAATTCAAGTCCAACATCTGACGCTGCACCAAGCAAACAACACATGTCAACACATCATGATGTTCCCTTGCTTTCTCACTTTGCATGCGCTGTTGCCTGGTCGCACATGTCCACAAAGCTTCTTCCAGTCCCAACTTTCTCGTACCGCGTTCCTTGCACCTTAGGGGTCGGGACGTGTACACACGTCTATCAACAACCGGTCTGAAATGCCATCGCAATCATCGTAATCATCGTAATCATGGTAATCCTGTACAAATTATTTATCAGATTTTATCAAGGTTCTTGCATCTGCAGCTGGGCCACTGTGTGCACATCTTTCAAATGCTCCCAGCCATCGAGACATGCAGGAGGAAACCGCTTCATGCGGTGCGTCCTGGGAATGGAAGGAGCTACGCTACACAGAGTGCAGCAACCGAGCAACCGAAGAATCTGAAGCTGAAATAGCAATTTTCCAAAGCTGCGGACGACCACAGAGGGTTGTGAATTCCAATGCTCGTCGCTTCACGTCGTTTCTTGTCGTTTCATGTCGTTTCATGTTGCTTCTGTTCTTGGAACCGGACGGGTTTCTGTGTCTTTCAATGGCTTCTTTGGTAAATTTTGCAGACCTGGCTGTGGCAGACTATCCCCTGGACAGCTCCTATAGTTCCTCAGCATCACCCCCGTGAACGTGTCATATGTATCATACATGTCGTACTGAGTCTCAGTTCAGTCACCTGCCAGATTCCAATGCCGACAAGAACTCCTGCACACTGACCTGGCACTGAAGAGGTGGTGACTCGCAGACCATCTCTGCATATCTAATTCTCTCAAAACTCCAAAACTCTCTTTCTAACTCTTTCTCATATTTCCTCATCTTTCTCCCTTACGTCTACGTGTTCCTTTGACTGGACCCCTTCTTGGATTCAAAATATCAAAATATTCAAACCTGCAACTTGACTTGTCGTGGACTGTTACATGGCCATCTTGAATGATCAAGGCACTGCTCCGCTGTGATCTTCATCAATTACCTTGGCACTGCAGCGGTCACTAGCACTGCTCTTGCACTGCACTTGCACTGCTCTCGCACTTGTCTCTAGGTCCACAGAGTACGCAAGTGTTGTTGCTTTTGCAGTCCAAGAAACATCAAATATCGTAATCACTTCTTGATCTGAAAGGCTTGGCAGAACCCTGGCCCAATCAAGCAATAAGTTATGCCAGGCAAGTTCTGCACAAACAGGAATCAATAGGGCAAGTCTTGGCATCTTCTGCGCATGCTTTGGACGTCTTTCATTCTTGGGAGGGTTTTTGCTGGCAAACACTTTAAATATCTTTGAATCATCCAGACTTCGTTCTTGTGCATGACTGCAAACATGTGCAGCACCACATGTTCAAGCGCTCAGTACTTTCGGCCCATGGTAAGACTTGATAATGCAGGGGGGAAAACAACTGCAAAGAACTGGACATGAATCAAATGACGGAAAACAACGAGCGGTCAAAGTCTGTCCAAACGACATGAATTGTGCAGGTGATCCCTGCCATATTCTTTGGTCATCTTTCATGCATGATCCGCACGGCAGCAAGGACACGTCGTGTGTTCAGCCGACCACAATCCTTGTTTTGGGGAAAGAAAAGTCGAATGTGGATGTGTTCTCAAAAACATCGCCTTTAGTCATTAACCTCGTCCTCCCTAATTATTGCCCACCATACATTCCCACAGTTGCCACTAGAAAATCTGTATGCGCCTGTGCAGGGCATGCTTGATCTCAGGTCTACTAAGTGCTTGGTCCTTGGTTTCAAGTGCAACGTGCAGCCGACCACGGTTCAAATATGTCCAATATGCCAGCATGAATTGAACTCAATATTGTTGCAGATTTCTTCTCACTGGAGATCCATTTGCCGTGACTCCAGCCGTCACAGTCTTAGTTTTTGACACCATTCAAGTCAATGTGGTGGAAAATGTCCTGAGCAAACAGTTTCTCATTGATCTCATTGTCTCAGAAATTGAAATCAAAACCATAGACTGCCGGAGTTGGCTCTGACAAGAAATCAGCAGCCAACATTGGCTAACTCACCGAACTGTTTTCAGCGCCACCCAACAGTGCAAACCTGTTTGTTTGCTGCATATTTCAAAGCTCAAATAGGTTTCATTGGAAGGCATGTGCAATATTTAGTGCAGCAATGGCAATGTGACAAACATTCGAAACATGACAATTTTCCAAAAAGTATCCAAAAAATGTCGTCCCGACCCGGTGTAAGTCCTGAAATTTCACTCCATTTGAGGCGCAGTACTTTGCAAATTCAGAAAGCACAGACTTGCCCCATGCCCTGGCAAATTCAGCAAACAAACTGTGCAAAATGTTAACCACGGTCGAAACAATTTGGTTCACTCGCCATGACGCTTTTCAGTGCAAGACAATGGCAAGTTTGCACAACAGCCGTGGACAGCGGGCACAGCTGTGATATCCGTGAGAGGTCAGGGCATATGATATCTTCACAGTTCCGCAAGTGCGACTGAGTCACGGATCTTTGTTGAAGGGATCATGTCTCGCCTTTAGAAACAAGCAGCACTTCTATATTTTAATCAAATTTCGACACAGTAGCCTTACCATAGGGTACCAAAGGTTCACATATGTCAATTTTGGTGTGATTTTCCAAAACAATGATATTGTATGTATGGATGGATGGATGGATGTATGGATGTATGGATGTATGGATGTATGGATGTATGGATGTATGGATGTATGGATGTATGAATGTATGGATGTATGGATGTATGGTTGTATGGATGTATGGATGTATGGATGTATGCATGTATGCATGTATGCATGTATGCATGTATGCATGTATGCATGTTTGCATGTATGCATGTATGCATGTATGCATGTATGCACGTATGCATGTATGCATGTACGCATGTACGCATGTATGCATGTAATGTATGTATGTATGTATGTATGTATGTATGCATGTATACATGTATGCATGTATGCATGTATGCATGCATGCATGCATAAATGCATGCATAAATGACTGTATGCATGTATGCATGTATACATGTATGCATGTATGCATGTATGCATGTATGGATGTATGTGTGTATGTGTGTATGTGTGTATGTGTGTATGTGTGTATGTGTGTAATGTATGTAATGTATGTAATGATGTAATGCATGTAATGCATGTAATGTATGTAATGTTTGCAATGTATGCAATGTATGCAATGTATGTAATGTATGTAATGTATGCAATGTATGCAATGTATGCAATGTATGCAATGTATGCAATGTATGCAATGTATGCAATGTATGCAATGTATGCAATGTATGCAATGTATGCAATTTATGCAATGTCTGCAACGTATGCAATGTATGCAATGTATGCAATGTATGCAATGTATGCAATGTATGCAATGTATGTAATGTATGTAATGTATGTATGTATGTATGGATGGATGGATGGGTGGATTGATGGTAGGTAGGTAGGTAGGTAGGTAGGTATGTAGGTATGTATGTATGGTATGTATGGTATGTATGGTATGTATGGTATGTATGGTAAGTATGGTATGCGTGGCATGTACGGTATGTATGTATGTATGGTATGTATGGTATGTATGGCATGTATGGCATGTATGGTATGTATGTATGGTATGTATGGTATGTATGGCATGTATGGCATGTATGGCATGTATGGTATGTATGATGCATGCATGCATGCATGCATGCATGCATGCATGCACTCATGCATGTAATGCATGTAATGCATGTAATGCATGTAATGCATGTAATGTATGTAATGTATGTAATGTATGTAATGTATGTAATGTATGTAATGTATGTAATGTATGTAATGTATGTAATGTATGTAATGTATGTAATGTATGTAATGTATGCAATGTATGTAATGTATGTAATGTATGAATGTATGCAATGTATGCAATGTATGTAATGTATGTAATGTATGTAATGTATGTAATGTCTGTAATGTCTGTAATGTCTGTAATGTGTGTGTAATGTGTGTAATGTGTGTAATGTGTGTAATGTGTGTAATGTGTGTAATGTATGGAATGTATGGAATGTATGGAATGTATGCAATGTATGCAATGTATGCAATGTCAGCAATGTCAGCAATGTCTGCAATGTCTGCAATGTATGCAATGTATGCAATGTATGCAATGTATGCAATGTATGCAATGTATGCAATGTATGCAATGTATGCAATGTATGCAATGTATGCAATGTATGCAATGTATGCAATGTATGCAATGTATGCAATGTATGCAATGTATGCAATGTAATGTGTGTAATGTGTGTAATGTGTGTAATGTGTGTAATGTGTGTAATGCGTGTAATGCGTGTAATGTGTGTAATGTGTGTAATGTGTGTGTGTAATGTGTGTAATGTGTGTAATGTATGTAATGTATGTAATGTAGGTGTGTGTATGTGGTGTATGTGTGCAGTGTGTGTATGTGATGTATGGATGTAATGATGTATGTATGTATGTATGTATGTATGTATGTATGTATGTATGTATGTATGTATGTATGTAATGTATGTAATGTATGTAATGTATGTAATGTATGTAATGTATGTAATGTATGTAATGTATGTAATGTATGTAATGTATGTAATGTATGTATGGTATGTAATGTATGTAATGTATGTAATGTATGTAATGTATGTAATGTATGTAATGTATGTAATGTACGTAATGTACGTAATGTACGTAATGTACGTAATGTACGTAATGTACGTAATGTACGTAATGTACGTAATGTACGTAATGTATGTAATGTATGTAATGTATGTAATGTATGTAATGTATGTAATGTATGTAATGTATGTAATGTATGTAATGTATGTAATGTATGTAATGTATGTAATGTATGTAATGTATGTGGTGTATGTAATGTATGTAATGTATGTAATGTATGTAATGTATGTAATGTATGTAATGTATGTAATGTATGTAATGTATGTAATGTATGTAATGTATGTAAAGTATGTAATGTATGTAATGTATGTAATGTATGTAATGTATGTAATGTATGTAATGTATGTAAGGTATGTAATGTATGTAATGTATGTAATGTATGTAATGTATGTAATGTATGTAATGTATGTAATGTATGTAATGTATGTAATGTATGTAATGTATGTAAGGTATGTAAGGTATGTAAGGTATGTAAGGTATGTAAGGTATGTAGTGTATGTAATGTATGTAATGTATGTGATGTATGTAATGTATGTATGGTATGTATGGTATGTATGGTAGGTATGGTATGTATGGTAGGTATGGTATGTATGGTATGTATGTATGGTATGTATGTATGGTATGTATGTATGGTATGTTTGTATGGTATGTATGTATGGTATGTATGGTATGTATGGTATGGTATGTATGGTATGGTATGTATGTATGGTATGTATGTATGGTATGTATGGTATGTATGGTATGTATGGTATGTATGGTATGTATGGTATGTATAGTATGTATGGTATGTATGGTATGTATGGTATGTATGGTATGTATGGTATGTATGGTATGTATGGTATGTATGGTATGTATGGTATGTATGGTATGTATGGTATGGTATGTATGGTATGGTATGTATGGTATGGTATGTATGGTATGGTATGTATGGTATGGTATGTATGGTATGGTATGTATGGTACAGTATGTATGGTACAGTATGTATGGTACAGTATGTATGGTACAGTATGTGTGGTACAGTACGCATGGTACAGTATGTATGGCACAGTATGTATGGCACAGTATGTATGGCACAGTATGTATGGCACAGTATGTATGGCACAGTATGTATGGTACAGTATGTATGGCACAGTATGTATGGTACAGTATGTATGGTACAGTATTTATGGTACAATATGTATGGTATAGTATGTATGGTATGTATGGTATGTATGGTATGTCTGGTATGTATGGTATGTATGGTATGTATGTATGGTATGTATGGTATGTATGGTATGTATGGTATGTATGGTATGTATGTATGGTATGGTATGGTATGGTACGGTACGGTATGGTATTATGGTATGGTATGGTATTATGGTATGGTATGGTATGGTATTATGGTATGGTATGGTATGGTATGGTATGGTATGTATGTAATTATCAATGCAATTATCAATGCAATTATCAATGTAATTATCAATGTAATTAGTTATGTAATTATTTATGTACTTATTGATGTTATTATTAATGTAATTTTTCAGGTAATTATTCATGTAATTTTTAATGTAATTGTTAATGTAATGATTAATGTAATCATTAATGCAATTATGAATGTAATTATGAATGTAATTATGAATGTAATTATGAATGTAATTATGAATGTAATTGTGAATGTAATTATGAATGTAATTATGAATGTACTTATTAATGTAACTACTAATGTAATGTAATGTAATGTAATGTCATGTCATGTCATGTCATGTCATGTCATGTCATGTCATGTCATGTCATGTCATGTATGTATGTATGTATGTATTTCAATGTATGTATATATATATGGTTCTGATGTAGCCGAGTTGGCACACACTACAAAATGTTGGCAAAATGCCCCATCATGGAATCTTCAGTGTTCCAAGAAGAACCACAACAAACACAAACAAATTCAATTTCCCAGTGGATTATGCGGTTTTTTCCGGTTCTAAAGGAACGAAACCTGAATTGCAATCAACATCATTTCTTAACGATTCTTGCCTGAATGTCTTTGCAGTATTACACAATTAATTGTGAAATGATATTTGGGACAAAAAAACCTTCACCACTTTGTCACGAAAATTAATCCTTTTTCTGTGCACTGGTTTGATGCTGAGTCCAGATCGCGAGCAAAGGTTCTGTATGCAGCCTAGCAATTGGCAATGACGAAAAAAATGTCATACACCTTTTGCATGTGTTTGATCAATTCAAGAAAATATTTAGTTGCTGGACTGGGAACGAACAAAAGCATCATAATTTGTCTGGTGCATCTGCGAGCGATTGGGCCTTCATTTTGATCTCGCTAAAGAACTGGTATTTTTTTTCCCATTGCCTGGCAATGACATCTGCAGAAATGAAAATTGCCATTTTGCCCATCTGTCTGAATTTCTCTGAGCTCAACACCTCTCTTGTTTTGGGTCGTAAACTCGCTCTGCATCCCTGATTGCAACACGGGTCAAGTCTTGCAACAAATAGTCAAGAAAGTGCAACTATTTGATACAAAGTATTCGCGATGGATCTACGAATCTGTTTTCATAGGAATTAGATAGTACCAGTCCAAATACAGCAGATACATCCAAGCAGCTTCAGAAGTTCTTGTGCTCGACGCCCCCGTTTAGCGGCACTGTCCTGGTTCGTACAGATATGTAGCGGGGAATTTGACAGTTCTTAAATTAGTCTGGTGTGCAAATGTCAACAATGTCAACCTCACAAAAAAAAGAAACATAATCACCGTTGAAACTTGGCAAATTTTCCAATCCTCCATGCAGTTTGCAAGGTCCGAGTTCCAAAGAGGCACCAACGACAAATTTTGTGCAAAATTGATTTTTGGCCAGGTTGTGGGTAAACCAAGTTCAACACAATTTGCAACAGTAAGCAAATGATGAATGCCGTTTTTCATTAAGTCGCATTTACACTTGCAAAACAAATTGTTGAAACATGACAATGAACCGATGCAGGGCATGTGTTTCATGTCTTGCCTTTGAACCAAAACAAATTCTGGCCAATCCCAAACGTGATGAGTGCACCTGGCGCACTTGGCGGACCACATTGTGATGTATACGCAAAAACATCATAATTTAACATCGTATGTGTCGACAATGCATTCGACGGCGTGAACCATTTGTCATTTGGCACTCCTCAGACATGTTTTGAGAACAGGTTTCCTGATATGGTGTCCTACGTGGAGGGTTGAAATAATTGTTAATTCCCCACATCTTTGTGTGGGGTTCTTGTTTTTGGTTCTGTATCCCGCCGCCTCCTCCTCCTTCTCCTCCTCCTCCTCCCGCCCTCCTTCTCCCGCCCTCCTCCCGACCACCTCACATGCGTGCTACTTGTTCACACAACTTGCTCACACACAACTCTACTCACACACCTTGTCGTCAACTTGTCATCACACAACTTTCTCATTCAACTCTCACACAACTCTACTCACACAACTTGCTCTCACACAACTCTACTCACGCAACTTGTCGTCACACAACTTGCTCACACAACTTGTCATCGCACAACTTGTTAACAACTTGTCAACACACAAGTTGTCCACATACAACTTTTCATCACACAACTTGTCATCACACAACTTGTCCACGGCTCTTTGCGTGGCAGGCGTGGCACTTGGTGACATCGACTTTCACTTTGCGTGGCAGGCGTGGCGCTAGGGGACATCCAACGTCAATTTGCGTGGCAGGCGTGGCACTTACGGCACTGGGCGGGCTCTGGTGGCGCACCGGGTTCTCAGCTGACGCCGTGGGCGCCGCGGCTCTTTGCGTGGCAGGTGTGGCGCTTGGTGACATCGAATTTCGCTTTGCCTGGCAGGCGTGGCACTTACGGCACTGGGCGGGCTCTGGTGGCGCATCAAGTTCTCAGCTCGTGGCTCTTTGCGTTGCAGGCGTGGCACTTGGTGACATCGGCTTTGACTTTGCGTGGCAGGCGTGGCACTAGGGGACATCCGACGTCACTTTGCGTGGCAGGCGTGGCACTTACGGCACTGTGGCGCACCGGGTTCTCAGCTGACGCCGTGGGCGCCGCTCAAGGGTCTCAAGCCGAGAACCAGTGAAGGGAAACCTATGTGTTGGCATTTTAATTTGAGCAAGGGATGCAACAATCAGACAAAGAATGGCAGATGCAAATTTGGCTACCATACATGCATGCGTTGCCTCAAGCCAAAGCATGGTGCATCAGCTTGCCACTCAAACCCAGGGTCATGACAGGGTACAGTGGTCACTACAAGTGCGTCTGTGAGTGGTGACCGCAATGCAGATTCGGACGCAAGTTTTGAGGTTGAGCGCACAGAGGGTGCAAAAAAGCCTGTTGATTTTTCAAGTTCTTCTGACTCTAAGCGGCATGATGTTGTCGGTTTGGTAGTTGTATTTTTGGCAGGATCCTGCAGGCTCAGAAAGGCTTGTGGCAAGCTTGGACTTCGAGCCTTGCCAATTGATAAGGACCCAAAGCGAGCAGAAAGCTGTGTGGTGGAAAACTATGACTTGACTGATCCACAGCAGTACAGCACTTTGGTTGAAGTTTTGCATGCAGAGAAGGATTTTTTGGTTCATGCTCATTGCGCCCCGAGTTGTGGCACTGCATCGAGGGCTAGAGGACGGAAGGTTCATGGCATGCCTTCGCATTTGCAACCCCAACCCTTGCGTAGTGACGACCATCCCGACGGCTTGCCAGCACTTTCAGAAAACGGCAAGGCTCGAGTGGAGAGTGCAAACGCCTCATACAAGGCAACTGCAGACCTGCTATCCATGTTGATCCAATGGAAGGTTTCAGTTTCCATTGAGAATCCATCGAAATCACTTTTCTGGAAACCCAGCTGGATACAGAAACTTTTGGAAATGGTTCCAAACGCTGACGCTCATGACACCTTTTTTGGTCCACTGCATGCATGGAGAATCCGATAATGCTCAGAGGGTCGGTCCTGTCAATGGTATAGCAAACTAAAACTGAACATTGAACACATATGGTTCAAGCTGAAGAATAAATTCAAAGAGGTGGCAACAAAACAAACCGGAAACAACAGAAAACAACCAGGACGACCCGCAAATCCCCCAGATTTGCGTTTCGCCGCGCTAGAAACAGCACAGCAACAGCGAACCGGGGCCAGAGCCCAACCAAACAACCACACAAATGCCACCTGGCGAAGAGGGAAAAAAACCCCTCTATGCCTTGAAAGAATTGCATAAACTAATTGGTACGCCTTCCACTAGAAATAAACGAATTCCGGACTGCGAGATGAGGCAGCACCTGTAAAGTAAGTGAAAGGTGAAACGGTCTGTGCACAACCAATCTAATCTCTCAGAGTCCACTCAGATGTGCTTCTTCAAGTCATCAATCCACATGTTTCGTAGCAATCCAAGAAGACGAAAACTTGTAAGCAAGCGGCCCAGTGCACAAGCCGCGCTATCCATTCCAAATGCCAAATGGCTCGTGGGCAAAAGGGTCAGTGCATAGCGCTACATCACCAACATGCAACCACTAGGAGTCTACCCCCCACCAGGGAGGGGGGGGAAGACCACACACTGGCCGTACACATGGTGGAAGTGCAAGGAAAAAAGGAGCCGAGGCATCGACGAGATGCCTAGGTCGTACAAAAGGTGCGTCGCACAGCAGTGAGTATGTACATCGCGACTGGTTGTAGAAGGTAGCCTTACCTTCGAAACCTCTAGACCTACCTGGGTCAGCGTCCAGGACGTCGTCCTTAAGAAACAAAAGACCGTCCACGCAAACCAAGTCAATCAATCCCAGAGCTCAGCCACTTTTACCGCACACAGACAAGCAACAAAAGAGATGTCTCTGCTCTTGTCGCTATGTTTCTTGTTGACGTGTCACTTCCTTGACACAAAACAGATGCGGAGTCGCATGTTGACATCTTTCTGTCAACTTCACTAAAAAAAGATCAAAACCACATGTCGTCACAAAAAGTCTTTACATCAAGACATGGTTTGTTTGTTCAAATAAGTTTGAGTGTTTGAAAAATGTTGAAACATTTTAGACACCAAAACATGTTCCACGATGTCTCCCTCAGATTTGTTGGCAACGGTAATTCTGAATGCCTTCAGAATGTTGCACTCTTTCATCATCGAGAGACAAAATCAAACTAAACTTCTCCGATCAACGTCAATCAAAGTTCCTTCTTCCGAAGTCAAAATGAATTCTACGAAATAATTCTTCGTACTCTTCTTCCGTTTCCTTCGTGCTCTTCGTCGACGAAAACTAAAGTGAAGGATATAGAAAATATTGATTTTCCATTTCATTCTACGGATTCAAAGCCTCACTGTGTTCTCCGTGCAATCAAAGTAGTCAAAGGAGATGAAAAACATATCGTTGTAAGGTTTCGCCATCTCCAGTAAAAGCTGCATCATATGGGACATGCAAAAACGATGTTAACCATCACGGTTGAGCTCACCATCAAGGTGAAAAACAAATTCACTCCCTCCAATGCAGAAAAGACCAAATGGATTCATCTCACTCCAAGTGGGAAATTTTCACACCTCCTTTTGAGATGAATTCCATCACAGCTATCTATAGCTATCTGTGCTATGTATCCATCTGTAATCCAGGCAGACTTCGACAAATAGATTCTGCCAAAGCTTGTCCAGAAAATACACTGTTGAGCTCTTAGCCAGAGAGCTTCATAGTACACTTCCATCCAGTTCGACAGTCTTTCAATAATTTCCAGCTGTCCACATAGAATGAAACCTTTCATAGATCCAACCAATATCCCAAGTGTCATCACTCACAAAACTCTCGACGCAAGGTGGTCCCTGCATAGACGGGCACATTGGCAGCTTTGCAGTCCACCAAGTCTCGGGCCTTGATGTACCTTCACCAATCCAAGGCAGGACCCTTCGAAGAGTCTTCAGTCAAATATTTGCGGCACCATGAGACATAGCTGGTATCCTTGTCGAAGACAGTGTGGTAATTTGCCTTCTCCTTCTCATACTTTCCAAAGGCAAATCTTGTCTTCCCCCACATAGTCATGCTGGTGACACCGGCTGGAAGCAAGGCCTTTGTGGCCAAACCCTCAATGCTTCCCACAGGCTCCATGAGACTGCTTCCAACTTCCCAGTCTGACTCAAGCTCAAATCCTGCATCATCAGCTCTGCGCTTCGAGGCATCAGTCATAGCACCACTGGATCCCGCAGGTAGCACTGGCATCTGAGAATCGCGGCGCAGTGCCAACTGCTGATATGCCTTCTCATCTTCAACCGTCCATCCAGACTTGTCCATGGCTGCAAACCAAACGCGTCCGGAAAAGGTAAAAAGTACTAGTTAGTGGCTAAGCCCTTAGGAGCAATCAACCTAGGGCGTGAAACGAAGTGTCGAACCGCCATCACATTCGTGATAGGCATAATCACTGTCTCTGACCTTTGCAAGTGTTCCTGTTGTTTCGCGTCGCGCATTGCATCGCACAAACAAGACACTCTGCACAAAATGAAAACTGTGAAACGACTGTTTGTCTTTGGCATCGTTTGTCTTTGGCATCGTTTGTTTCAAACAAAGTGCAAAACAATCACAAAAGTGAAACAAAAACACAAAGTCTCTCTCTTGCTGTCTTCCCCCTTTCAAACGCAAATCTCACTTCTTTGCAGCATGCTTGACTGCAACCAGAATGTATCTTGCCAACTTTCTGTTGTAAAACGCTGTTTCAGTATAGTTGATTTGATTAAGTTCTGCATGAGTCTGGCATGTACATGTTGAAAGTTTGGAGTGAAGATTTGTTGGAAATGAAATTGAGTTGGAAACAAACTTCAACGTTTTCCCAATTGGAATACCATTCTTGTTCTGACATCCAGTTTTGCACAACCTCACCAAAGCCTGATGCCTCATGTCAAAACTCTCCAAAAGATTCACTGTCTCAGGTCGGGACCAAATGGCATTTCGTTCTGGAAGCTCAAACGAACATGAGTTTGCATGTTTGAAGTAACCACCAATCGCATTGATGATCTCATCCCATTCCTGGTCTTTCTCAGTGACTGAGTCCTGATTGAAGTTGCGAAGCGGACTTCCACTTCCACAAGGA